TCCAGAGAAGGGCAATGAAGGTGGTGAAGGGTCTGGAGCACAAGTCTGATGGGGAGCGGCTGAGGGAGCTGGGGGGGTTTGGTCTGGAGAAGAGGAGGATGAGGGGAGACCTGATCGCTCTCCTGAAAGGAGGGGGTAGCGAAGTTGGGGTCGGTCTCTTCTCCTGAGTAACGAGCAATAGAACAAGAGGAAATGGCCTCAAGTTGTGCCAGGGAGGTTAAGATTGGATATTAGGAAGAATTTCTTCACCAAAAGGGTTGTCAGGCACTGGCCCAGGCTGCCCAGGGAAGTGATGGAGTCCCCATCCCTGGAGGGATTTAAAAGATGTGTAGGTGTGGTGCTTAGGGACATGGTTTAGTGGTGGGCTTGGCAGTGCTGGGTTTACGGTTGGACTCAATGATCTTAAAGGTCCTTTCCAACCTAAATGGTTCTATGATTCTATTCTGTGATTAAAGTCGGTGGCTTAGGTATGCTGTGTAGATTCTGACATCATAGGAATGTTCAGCAGTATCAGCTTTAGTTCAGCTTATGTCAGCATTCCCTGTTCAAAAATCCACATACTGGTAAACAGAGCTGAACCAGAGACCAGCCAAGTGTCCTTTGCACAGGTGACATCAGTATTACTCTTATAATTGAAAATAAAAGAAAATACTCTTTTCTTCACTATGTTTTTTTCAAAACATTTATGCTCTGGTATTATGTGGATAACCATTCTTAATTTATTGCATTCAGTCCAGAAATCGTAACCAACTAGATTCTCCATGTTGAGTCTTGGAGCATCAATATTACACCCGTGAAATACTGTCCTTGTTACTGGGACACAAGGTTCTCTGAATCTGCTCATTGAAATAATTTCACCGGCATCTCAAGAGCCTACTCAGTTTCCATTTATGGAAGTCAGACAGTATTCAATGACTATAGTACTTCATCTTTTTTACTACATTGTGCAATCAGAAAAGGGAAGCTTAAGTTATTGCTTCTATGTATTTATTTAATATAATGCAGCTTTTATAACTGCTGGTTTTGTTCTTCAGAGAGTTCATGGGATTCAATGAAAAATTAATTATGACACAGAAAAAGTATAAGCCTAACAGCAATACCAAAGTATAGTATTGCAGCTAATGTTAGAACAACATTCATACGGTCATTCATATAGTCATATTCATGCCCTTTTTTTTTTTTTTTAACTCAGTGTATCTAGGAAATACATAACAGCTATTTCATTTTATAAAATTGTTCCTATCTTGAAAATGGGGAGCTAAATGATTTTTGTTATAACATTTCGTGTACATGGTAAATGTACCAGACATCTGCAGGGAGTATGAATCATTGGACTGGTCTGAATTATACTGAGAGCTTTCAAAAATAACTGGAAAATAAAACATTGTAATTGCTTTATGTATTTTTTTTAAAAAATTTAGGTTGTAATCTGGAAATATTTTACTGGGTATTTCAACTACCTGAAAAAAAAGACTTGTGGTTTAAAAAAAGAAAAGAAAAGAAAAGTACTTTGGGAAATGTGTCCTCTATCCTCTCAGAGTTGCAGTGTATCTGCTATGCTTAAAAAAGTAGTAGCACCAAAGCCACATTCTTCAAGCTCCTTAAACTGGTTCTTACTTGACGGCTTGATGCCCCTTTGTTATTCATTCTGACTGATGGGTAGATTCTTGATCTAAGGGAAATGACCTTAGAAACCGCCTTGTCTGTTTGGGAGGATCCCAATATTCAGTTTTGAAATAGTACTTCTCCAAACTGTTCTCAGATAGATGACATCTGGCTAGCTGTGAAAAATACGTCTCAGATGTAGAATATTTAAAGCGTTACTCTCAATGTGTGTGTTACAATCATTTGTCCTACAACCTCAAGAGCTTACTCATTTGCCATATAAGGATGTCAGACATAGTTAAATATTACGCTTTTAATTACTATAGAGTGTTTCACACAGAATTCATCCTGTTGAGACAGAAGAGTAGGTTATAGACTTTTCTCCAAAAATTGCAATTGCCTTCCCCAACTGCAGCTCATATAGGCAGTGAATGGCGTGCCTGTCAGCCAAGAGACATGGAAACTGAAGCCTTAAAATTGAGTGCTTGAAATTATAAATTCAGTCAGTGCTGACACTGTCTTTCGCTCACCCTTATATGCGTAGGCAGTAAAAAGAGCCTTAACTCAGTAGGTCGTCTTACGCAATGTTCTGCAAATCATTAGCACAACCGGGAGGTTGAATTTCATCCCTTTGTGTTTTCTTGCTATTGAACGCTTAAATCTGACACCTTTATTTTACTGTAATTTTCGTGATTTCATTTCATATAAATCACATGGAGACTTTGTGTGAAGGACGTAATATTTCTTGGGTTTTATGTGTACTGCAAAAGAAATCAGAATACGAAATGTGTTAGAAACATTACGTGAGTATTTTCTTCCAGCTGTCTCTCCTTTGGTATAATATCATGTATCCAAAAGTCATGAGAATCCAGTGTCTACATTTAACTTCAATCACATGTTTTTTCTTCCTGATTTGATTCTTAAGATTTCAAATGTATTTGAATATTCAGGTAGTTCTTCAATTTTAAAATGTTTGTTTAAAATAGTCTATTACACAGCTCTGAAGAGGTGATAGTTGAGATTTGCTTCTTGTTTTACAATGTCTTCCTAAAAGTCCATAAAAAAGGATATTTCATTTTTTGTCATCCACTTTCAGGGAAACGCTAATTTGGAGATTCGGGATGATTTGTATGAACTGTATTTCTGAGATGCAAGAAACAGAAAACAAGTGTCTTGGTCTGAAAATTCATCTAGTTTTTGACAAGAATGTATTAATAAGGATCCAGCTAAACTTTACAGGAGTCTAACTTTAGAGGAGTCTCGTACATAAGGCTAGGGGAATTTAAGAATAAAGTTCTTTGCTGGACAAAATTTAAATATCAAAAAGAAACAAAATTAGATTTAGTACTAAATGTAAGCTGCTCTTGTAACTACATTGATGCTATGGATAAGAAGGAAAAAAGCAAATGCTAGTTTTAATACTTCTTCCTTGTTCTTTGTGCTAGGGGGATTTATGATTTTATTCTTTGCAATACCTACAGAGAGAATGAAAATACGGGGGGATGTCAAAGGATATGAAATCATGTGCTGTTTCGTTAAAGCACATGCTCTGCCTTTCCATCCCTGTTGCACTGGGACAGGCGATTCCATGGGGCTGTGCGGGCAGGATGGGGGGCAATGTGCCCTGTGTAGAGCCAGGCAAGGAATTAAAATGTTAAATGAAGTTTACACCCTGTTGCTAGAGAGTATAAAGCTCCTTTATTTTTTTATTAAAAGCATCTTTTAGCAGCCAGCCCACAGTTCATGAACGACTGTGTCATCTCTGGTGGTGTTTGCCTGAGGCTGGCTAGCCGCTTGGGCAGAGCGGCGTGTCTCCTGGTCCCTCATCCCTGCTGCTCTGCAAGCTTCCAGGCACTGCTGCTTCCACAGCTTCCTGCTAGCCCCGTAATTTTGGGCCTCCATTTAAAAACCAACAAACCAAACTGATAACTATATTTTAATAGACGTAGATGATGTAAGCCAGTAGTAGGAGAGGAAGGAAAATGTTAGCCTCGATACCACAGAAATGCATTCTTTAGGTCCAAGTGAGCCTTTCCACCTTGCAAAATCCAGTTAGCAGGAAAATGTACAATGATGTGTTTTGCCTACTATTTGAGTTTCTAACTGCATAGGAAAGCAACTACACTACTTATTTTGATAATAAGATTCTGGAATATAGTTATTTGGCCTGTGCTTCCACAACATTAAACTGTGATTCTCCTCTTTGAGCACCTCTTAATTAGTCTAAAATGAACGTAACACACAGAGCTATTGTTTCTGGTTCTCTCCAAAGCTAAACCAGATGTCACTACTTTTATTGCAGTAACGTTTCAATTTTTTGTTGTTATTGCAAGCATAGCAACTGGAAATTTTTAATACATCCTTCCCCTCTACAGTAACAAGAGAGACTAGAGAAAAAGATAGGTAAGGTATCAAGCTTCTTTTTTTGTGTTAGGAGGAGAACAGTATACAGGCATTCGTAATCCACCAATGTCCCTTATGTTGGAAGCACAGCAAGAAGCAACACAAGAGCTTTGCAATTCTCTGTATAGTGGGATAGGCGTGCCTTGTTTATCCTGCCAGATTTTGCCCAGGCCTTGCTGTTTCTGTGTTCAGGAGCTGCCGTCACTGCAGCATAGACCCAACGCATCACGCTTAAGACCATAGCCCGTTGCACCCATGTAGCCAGTATAATTGTTTCTAAGTACATTCACTTAATTTTTATGTAGTGATTGTCCAGATTTATGGCTAAGTACACTTTAAATGTATTGTGACTAGATAACTTTTACCTAATGTACTTCAGGCATTGTGACATGTTTAATTTCTGCTGGTTTTCTTTTTTGTATCCCTGTTTTTCAAGTCTGACTCAAGACATCTAATCTTTTTGGTTTGCTTATTCAAGCTGTAATAAAAAGTTAGTTCATTGATGTTTCTTAAGAAATTATAACCCTGCAAATCTATTAATTACAATAAATCATTTCCAGAAAGTACAAAAAAAAATTAAGAATTCTTTTCTCTTTTTCTGCAAGTGGTCTTATGCTTTAGAGAAGCCGAACACTGGCAGCATATTTAATATTGCTTGGTCTATTGATGGCACTCAACTAGCCGGAGCATGTGGAAATGGACATGTAATTTTTGCCCATGTTGTGGAGCAACGCTGGGAGTGGAAGAACTTTGAAATAACATTAATCAAGAGGAGAACCATGGAGGTAATCTTCACAGTTCAGAGCTCTGCATTCTGATTACTAGCTTTCTAAGGGTCTTTTTAATACAAAATGGAAATTTTTAATCCTCAACAAAAGATTGTCCTTTTTTTTCTGTGTATATATGACTGAAAACATTTAAGTTCATAAAATGGCCAGAGTTAGCGAATGGTGTAAATAATGGTGAGTTGTACAGAAGATCAGGTCCATGTAAACCAAACTGTACCACCAGATGGACCAGAATTACATAACTCAGAAGTACTTTGTCTTCCAGAAAAATGCAAAGCTCATTTGAAGAGCGTGTGAAATTAGCTGTGAGAGGCCACTGGCAAAGCGAGCTATAATTTCACATGTAATGAAAATATTTATGCAGAAAACAATACAAATACATTGGCCAAAACGAAACCATCATATTAAATAGTATTACAGTAACTGGCAGCAGAGATGAAGCTGCATAAGTGTAGATAATGTAGAGGAGCTTTCTTTGCCTTATCTGCATTCATGAGTTGTTGGAGGCACTGATGCACTTTGTAATAGCTAATGCTTCAGTAGGGTTTACTGTATCCCTGTTGTTAATGAAGCTGTGATGAATGTTGCTGTCTTAGGGCATTTCCAGATAAATTTGGTTGCTGACTATAACTGTAAAGAGTCATAATGTGCTTTTCTGCACCACGTATTGTATTACAGCCTAGATTCAGATCTTCCAAAGCTACAGAAATTTGTCATATATCATATAACATACATCAGGTACCGGGATGATGCCTCCAGCTGAGTAATGAGCAATAGGCATTGACCTCAGTGAGACCTGCCAAGTCTCAGCGCTGCTGGAAATGAAACAGGCCCCTACATGTGGTTTCTGGAGCTTAAGTTTAGGATCCTTCTTTTCAAAATTCTTGGCCTGGATCCACGTTTAGGTTACCAAATATCTGGGAATTAATACAAAAATATGAATTTTTACCTTCTAATTTATCCTCTGTGTTCCCAGACACTGACTCACAACATTCACTCTCTGAACACTGGGATAATATAAGATTTCCATTCTTACAGATTTTCCAAATTACACATTTGGTATTGGACACCAGACCAATATTTTCAATATCAAAGTTCCTAAATTCCTAATTAGGCCCTTAAATGTTTTTTGGTCTTGATTCTTCTAATGTTGAATATGTAATTGGGAAAAGTTGTAACAACAGAAATGCTGTATTACAATTTGATCCGGTGGGTGGGATAACATGAGTCAGTGTCTGGGAACACAGAAGACAAATTAGCAGGTAAAAAATTCGTATTTCTTCTTTCATTCCCAGACATCGACTCGTAACAGATGGGCTCGGTGAATAACCTCCAGGGTGTTTGAATATGCAAACAACTGAGGAAGTATAGCTAACCCTCATTCAGGACTAATTTTTTATTTTAATATTTTATAGTGATTTTATTTTATTCCTATATATTTATGTAGGAAAATACTGCCTACAAAAAAGTTCTGGATGCATTCTTTGTTTCTGAGTACTACAATAGCTAAGTTAATTATGGACATATCACTGTGGTGGACATAGCTATTAATATGTCTTTGGAAATTGTTTCTAGGCTTTCATAATAATTGAGTTCAGTCCTTGTTTTGCAATTGGTTGCATAACAGAAAATCGAAAAGAAGTTACCACCGCCAGAATGGTGACATCTTAAAAAAAAAAAAAGACAACAAAAAACCACCAACCAACCAACCAAAAACCTGTCATAAGATATCTCCTTAGATTTTAGCTGCCTAAAATCTTTGAGCTCAAAAATCTGTGTTGCTTACAGGCAAACTGTGATTTTCTTGAAACACTGTCATTTGAGCAGGTTTTCACAGAAATGGCAAAGGCACAACCTGCTTACCAAGCCCATCTCCTAAATCTCCCATACTTCAGAGAGTGGTAGCATTAAAATATATGCTAGAGCTATTCAACACCTAGACAACATATCTTTATCCAAATCTTGGATATTGCTGAATTGTTTTGATGGGATCATGATGGGATCACTTGAAGTATCAAATGTTTAAATAATCAGCAACTGAACACTGAGCCTTAAAATGGGAACTTACAGAAATCATCTGATCTCAGATGATTTTCTCAACCTCATGTATAATATTGCACTTACACCTTATGTATTCCAAGTACTCATTAATTATGCATTTCTTTTAAGGAGCTCCACCCAGCTCTTCAGTATTTATTGACTGTTTATTCAGAGTTTATAGAACCTTTGAGTTTAAGTCTTCACCAGTGCTGTGAAAGTGCTGTTCCCACATAGATATGTTCTGCTAATGGCATAATAGTATCAGGATGTACTTAAAATAAGAAAGACTATGATATTTCACTAGTTAGTTTTCATTTCATTTATTGTTGTTTTATTCAACCAAAATTTTCTTTTGATTAGGTGCACAATGTTCTTAATGATGCGGTAGATTTGTTGGAATTCCGCGACAGGGTTATTAAGGCCTCTTTGAACTACGGGCATTTGGTAGTTTCAACTTCTCTTCAGTGTTACGTGTTTTCGTAAGTAATAATACAAATTCGTGAAGCTTTCTCAAGTTTATCTAACAGTTGTAAGAGAGTAGCAGAAACTTTATTTGAAGTACAGTAATTAATTATTTTTTTTTTTGGTAACTAATTGAAATATTCTATGGAATGTAGCATCATCTACAACAAAATGTACTGGAGTATCGTTGCCCCCCTCTCCCTGTCATCCTTTCTTTCAGCTTCTTGCTGGTGCCATGACTGCCTGTTCATTGTGCTACAAAAAATTTGGCAGGCTTTCTTTTCACA